GCCACCACTCACCTGCTGTCTTTCAGAATGCTCAGGTTGAGCATCTCGTCCAGTGTATCCCTTGCCGACTCCGGCAGACACCGGAAGAGGCCGGTCCTCCTCTGCCCAAAGTCCGCGTCTCCGTCCTTGGAGCACTTGCTGGCGATAGAGCGGATGCTCTGGATATACAGTTCCTGGTTCTTGACCCCCTGGTAGTGCGAGTAGTCCCACTCCGGGCCGGCTAGCGATCCGGACATCTGGATGTCCCTCCTGGAAAGCGGAATGTTTATGTCGTCCCGGATTTTGTTGATGTGTATGTCGGACAGGCTGATGTACGCCAGGCCCATGGGGGCGTGGCTCTTACGGCGCTGTTGGAGAGGGGGCGTGGCGTTGGGTTTGATGAAGGAGGCGTCAGCTCGAGACACGCGGTTGTAGAAGTCCACGGTGTTGGAGCGCTGCCTGGGAGGGGCGTTGTTCACGGACGAGTTGCTGGACGTCTTGTCCTTCTTATTCCCTGACGTGGTTCCCCACGTGACGTGCTGCAGGTTTGACGTGGAGTTGATGATCATGTTGGGCGTGGACGAGAAGAAACGACCGTCTTTTTTATTTTTCGCCCCTGGTTTGACGGTCTGGCAGGAGTCGGAGAACATAACCGTCGTGTTTTCCTGGTCGTCTGTGATCGTGATTAGGGGAATGGTTTCGAAAGCAGGCTTCCCTCCTGACGAGTTGGAGATCTTCCTCTTCCTCTTCTGCTTCACGGGTTTCAGCAGAGAATTGTTCACTTGCTCCTTCTCTGTTTCATTCGTGTAGATCACTCGATCTACTCCGTCTATATCGATTTCACAATTTCCTTTTAGGATTTTGGACACAACCTCTCCTGCGATTTTCTCGCCTTCGCTGGATTCGGGTGTCATATCGAGAGGCCTTACAAGACCACCGAATACAGCACCGTTTAAAATAATCGCTCCGAGTATCATCAGAGTCCAACTCCAGTTGTAATGTAGTAAAAGAAGTTCCGTGACTGGTGCGAGTACAAACGTGCCGATACCAGAACCGCATACCGCGATACCAGTAGCTAGGGCTCGGCGACTTTCAAAATAAAGGCTCACCGATACTATCGCAGGTAAATACATCATGCCGAATCCGATGCCTGAGGAGAGAGGAAAAGTTCATTCTGAATGAGTATTTCGTTTCGTCTCCATATCGTTCTGTTTCCTTTTCGTTATGTTTTGATATGGTTTTGTTTCCATGTGCTTCGGTTTATTTTGGCTTAAAACAACTCCAATATAAATTTTAAAGCATGTACTTTTGTGAGAGGAATAAAGCACAGTAACATTTAGTAAGACTATTGAAACAAAAGGGCGACAACCCTGCACCTCACCTCCCACTTCTCTGGCCTTCAGGCATAATACTATGTTCATGAGCGGCATAAGGGCAGACAATGGGGCGATAACTCTTGGTTCACCTCCCGCTTTTCTACTCTAGGCTTTTGTTCATACACACAAGCCAAACACGGGGGGAAAGGGGG